TGATGGTCGCACACAAACACCTTAAGTTGTCTTGAATTCTAGCATATGTGATTTGGGCCCAATAAGACATAATGAGCCTAAGTTGGAAAAGCCGACATATTGGGTCAAGAGACAGTAGGTGGTATCATGAGTTAAGTTGGACTTGATCCATGATGTAACCTAATTAATTTAAATGTTAAATTAATAAAATTAATTTGAATTCAAATTTTGAATTTTGAATTTAAATAAAAATAATTTGAATTCTAGTTTCGAATTTCAAATTTGAAATTTGGATTTAAATAAAATTAATTTAAATTCTAATTTTGAATTTTGAAATTTGAAATTTGAATTTAAATATACTCATTAAATTAGATTTAATGAAGATGGAGAAAATAAAGGAAACCAATCAATTAGATTGATTGAAAATCAATCAATTGGATTGATCCAAAATTAAAGAAGTCAATTAATTAAATTAATTGAGTGAAATTTGGGAAACCAATCAATTGGATTGATTAGATAAAATTAAGGAAACCAATTAATTAAATTAATTGGCTGAAATTGGAGAAACAAATCAATTGGATTGATTGGATAAAATTAAGAAAATTATCCAATAAGATTGTGATTTGATGAGGGCGTTGATTTGACCTAATCTTAGGTGAATGAGGCGCCACACACACACACACACACACACACACATATATATATATATATAGCCATTCTTCCTCCTTAGTTTGTATAACTCTTCCTCTCTAATTTTCTCCACTAAAACCTTAGCCAACACGCACATTAGTGTGGTGGCTATCTCTCTCTTGGAATAACCAAAGGCACCATCCAATCTCTGTTCTTCTCTTGAGTTTAGCAACTCCATTGAAGGATATTGGACATTCGACAAAGTATTCTTCTCTTACAAGACAACAAGGTGGTGTAGATTCCCATCGGAGTACTTGTGTTTTTCAAGTAGGAAGAATTGATCAAGAACGCATCTGATCATGAATAGTTATCCGAATAAAGGTATCAACTTTAAACCCCTAACATGTCTATTGCTTGATTCATGGGTTGAACATGATTGAGGGTAGGCAAAGGTTGCTTCTTCCGCACAAATTTTTTAATTTTTCTCTCTTTTATGTTCATAGCCTACAAAAGGCTACTTTCAACTACCAGGTTGTCCAATGTGGTAATGGTAAAGAAGCCAAATGGCAAATGGAGGATTTGTAAGGACTATACCGACTTAAATAAGGTATGTCCGAAGGATTCATATCCTATGCCAAATATTGATCAGTTGGTAGACAGCTCCTCAGGATTCAAGTTATTATCTTTCATGGATGCATATTCAGGACACAACCAAATCCCTTTGTATCCTGATGACCAAGAGAAGACTGCCTTTATCTCGAAAAAGGCAAATTACTACTATACTGTGATGCCCTTTGGATTAAAGAATTCGGGGGCCACTTACCAGAGGATGATTAATCGGGCTTTCGAAGATCAACTTGGAGGAAATGTGGAAGTATATATTGATGATATGATCGTAAAGTCATTAGAGCTTGCCACACATATAGGTAATTTGGAGCAGATCTTTGAAAAGATGAGAAGGTATAACATTCGGTTAAACCCGGCAAAATGTGCCTTCGGGGTTCTTACTGGAAAATTCTTGGGTTTTATGTTGACTCATAGAGGCATTGAGGCGAACCCAGACAAATGCAGAGTCGTGCTAGATATGTAGGCACCAAGAAATAAGAAGGAAATTTAACCACTAACAGGGCGGCTAGCTTTCCTTACTAGATTCTTGTCGCGGTCAGCAAAAATGACATTGCATTTCTTCAAATTATTGAGGAAAGAAATGCAATATGGGTGGAGTCCGGAATGTGAAACAACGCTCCAAGAAGTAAAAAGGCATCTGGCTTCACCAACGGTTCTATCAAAACCAAGGTCAGGGGAAACCCTGATAATATATTTGTCAGTAGGGAAAACAACAGTTAGTGCAGCCCTGATCCAGGAAGATAAGAAAGGTCAACAACTGGTCTGTTTCACGAGTCGATCTCTGCAAGAAGCTGAGCTCAAATACCAAAAATTGGAAAATGTAGCTTTCTCCTTGTTGATCTCGGCTAAAAGGCTCAGGGCATACTTCCAAGGTCATAGGGTGGTAGTAAGGACAGATTAGCCCATTACACAAATCCTTCACAAACTAGACTTGGTATGGCGAATGATGAACTGGGCAATTGAGCTATCTGAGTTTGACATTGTCTTTGAAGCACAAAAAGCCATTAAGTCTCAGGCTTTAGCTAATTTTGTTAGAGAAATTACCTCTGTTTGGGATGAGGATTTGTCGGATCGAGATGTTTGGAAGATTTATGTTGATGGTTCTTCTAACGCAAAAGGCAGTGGAGCCGGGATAATTGTTGAAAGTCCTGACGAAATATCGGTAGAATACTCGCTCCAGTTGAGTTTCAAAACTTCAAACAATCAAGCTGAATATGAAGTCTTCATAGGCGAGCTACAATAAGCAAGGGTGCTTGGGGCATAGAAAGTCCACATATTCAGTGATTCACAGTTGGTTACATCTCAAATTGGAGGCAATTATCAAACCAACGGACCATTGATGGCCAAGTACCTGGATACAGCCCGCCAAATGATGGCTAAGTTTGAAAAAGTGGATGTGAGCCATATACCCTGAAATGAGAACAGTAGAGCCGACATATTATCAAAGTTGGCAAGCACAAAGAGTAGTGAAAATCATAAGATGGTGATAGAACAAAATGTTCCAGAGTCGACATGTATAATGATCATTACAGCAATAGAGGATTGGCGATCTTCGATAGTGGCATATTTAGAAAAAGGAGTTCTACCTCCAAAAAAGGAGGAGGCAAGGAAGTTAACCCGAGTGACTTATAACGAGTGGCAGTGAGGTGAATATGTACAGACAAGCTGGACGTAGCCTACATTAGGTGGATCAAGGTAAATCACTGTGTCAATTCTCTCTCTTTCTCTTTTCGTTTGTGATTTGCGTGTGATTGTCGATTTACAACATAGAGCATCTGTAACTTATTGGCTTAACCTTTTATTTATAGACGGGTTACTTGCTAGGAGTGTATTTTTGGGCTTCTTAATAATATCGAGAACCCAAGTCCAACCGTTTAACTGTCTGGATAGGATTGTCTTAGTATAGGATTATCTTCCTTGTTAGCACGACGTTATTTTTGTATGGTCTTTTATTGAACCTTCTAGAATATGACTCTTTGTCATGCCCATAACATATAGATTCTTACACACTTGACAAAGCTTACCAAATATTGGAGTTGCCTCCATTAGGGGTGTCAATATGGGTTTTGACACGCGGGTCAACCCGCGACACGACACGAAAATTCGTGTTCGGGTTGACCCGTAAAAAAATTCGTGTCGTGTTCGTGTTGGAAAAAATGACACGCAAAAAATTCGTGTCGTGTTCGTGTTTATGAATTCGTGTTCGTGTCGACCTGTATTATTTTTAATTATTATTTTTTTATTTTTTATTATTATTTTTTAATTTTTTATTTATTTTCGATCTATTTTTTTAAATTTTTTTGTCAATTACCGTTTTGTCCCCTATTTTGCGTGTTATTCGTGTCGTGTCGTGTCAACCCGCAAAAAATTCGTGTCATGTCAGTGTTGAAGATTTTAACACGAATGAAAATTCGTGTCGTGTTCGTGTTGATGTATTCGTGTCGTGTCAAATTCGTGTCGTGTCAACCCATATTGACACCCCTAGCCTCCATCCAAGATTGCTTATAACTAAGTCAATATGATATGGTGTCAGTCAACAATTTACTTAGCCCATCGACGGCACTTTAATAACTAATACGACTAATTCTATCATGAATCGTGACCGAGTCTTGAGATGGCAGCAACATATATATATATATATATATATATATATATATATATATATATATATATATATATATATATAACGGTAAAATGTCTAAGAATTTTTTGTGTGATTAAGTTTTATATGTAGTCCCGTAAAATGTCTAAGAATTTTGTGTGTGATTAAGTTTTATATGTAGTCCCAAGATTAACTATTTATTTAAAATTTATTTGTCTAGCGGTTGGTGCTGTGTTTTTTCGTGTCGTGATTTCTCATTAAATATATGTATTTCAAAATAGTTAAATTAAATGTAAGATTAATAAGTTATGCTTACTTTTTTTGAGAAGGATATTAATTATTATGCTGTCGTAATTGATTGTAAAACATGATCCTAATAATTAATTCCTTGCAAGCTAGATTTTCTCATTCTTATTCTTTTTTTCCTTTTTGGCGAATTTTCGGTAAATATATGGCTGCAGAGAAATGATTATTTTTCACTTCAATAATCTCTATGTTCGAAAGGAATTAATTTTCGACCGTTGGCTCGGCGATATTATGAGTTATACTAAAAAAAGAATTAAAAAAGAGAGAAGGACGATCGTTCTGAGTTTTTTTATTTCTAAGCATAATAATGTTTGTTATTTTAAATGACAGAAAGTTATGTCAGTGTAAGAAAGATACAGACTCATAAAATTTGAATTTTAAATTAAAAAAATCACTAATTTTCTCTCTCCCATGATTTCCATTTTTCTATATCTATTTCTCTCTTAAAATGACATAACTTATTTCATTTAAGATGACAAACACCAAACCCTTATAATATATGAAATAACGTGATGAAACCATTCACTTTTTCTTTAAACACGATTGTTTGGGCACCAAGTACTCCTTAGTCGTTCTTGGCTAACAGGTCAACCAATAGGCAATATACACCAATGGAAGCCACCACATTTTTTATTCACTTCTACGGTTTCTTAGTTAGTCCTTTTACACAATGAACCTTACGTTGACCAATAGTTGGCATTCTAGTATTTTATCCCTTTCTCTTCACTAAACAAAACCAATAAATTTAATAAAAATATTGTTCCCTTTCCCTTTCACCAAAAATAAAAGGAATTCCATTTCTTCCACAATGTTTAAATTCTCATAAACACCATAAACTCTCCCATCATCTTCTTGATCAAAATCTGAAACAAACCTCTTCAAAAAAAAGAAAAAGATAAAAAATGAAAGAAACCATAGTTCTATACCCTGCCATGGGTAGAGGACACCTTGTCCCTATGGTAGAACTTGGCAAGTTCATATTAACTCACCATAACTCCACCCTTTCAATCACAATCCTCCTCCCTTCGCCACCCGACACCGCCACCATCCAATACTTAACCACCGTCTCCGCCGCCGCACCTTCCATAATCTTCCTCAACCTTTCACCTTCACAACATTTACTCCGCACTCTCCAATCCATCATTTCTCAATCTTCCAAACCCAAAGCCTTCATCTTAGACTTCTTCAACCACTCTGCCGCCAACGTCACGGCGGTGCTCGACATCCCCACCTACTACTACTTCCCCAACGCCGCAAGCTGCGTCTCTCTCTTCCTCCACATACCAACCATCCACCACAACACCACAACCTCCAAGACGGGTTCCAACTACATCAACATGCTTCGAAGCATCCCCGGCTTGCCACCACTCTCGCCGGAGGACATGCCGGAACCCATCCTTGACCACCGGAGCCGGAGCTACGAGTCGTTCGTGAAGATGTCAATCGAAATGAGAAAAACAAACGGTTTAATCGTTAACACGTTTGAGAAACTTGAGAACAAAGCATGCTTGGCATTGAAGAATGGAGAAGATTGTGTTGAAACACAACAGCCACGTGTTTTCTTTGTTGGGCCACTCGTTTCCACGAGTAATGGTGATGGTGATGAGTGCCTGAGTTGGCTCGACTCGCAACCGAGTCGAAGCGTTGTGTTTCTTAGTTTTGGAAGCTATGGAAGGTTCTCGAAGAGTCAAATAAGAGAAATAGCGGTTGCGTTGGAGAGAAGTGGACAAAGGTTTTTGTGGGTTGTGAGGAACCCTAATTCAAATGTGGGAGGAGAGTTGAAGTTGGAGGAGTTGTTGCCAAAAGGGTTTTTGATGAGGACGAAAGAGAAGGGAATGGTGGTTGGAAACTGGGCCCCACAAGTTGCGGTGCTGAGTCATGACTCAGTTGGCGGGTTTGTGACTCACTGCGGGTGGAACTCGGTGTTGGAGGCGGTTTCTTGGGGTGTTCCGATGGTGGCGTGGCCTTTGTACGCGGAGCAGAGGTTGAATAGAGTGGTTATGGTTGAGGAGATGAAGGTGGCTTTGCCGTTGAAAGAGAACGATGAAGGGTTTGTCAGGGCAACTGAGTTGGAGAACCGAGTTAGAGAACTTATGAACTCGGAGAGTGGGAGAGGGAAAGAGGTTAGAGAGAGTGTTTCACGTGCTAGAAATGATGCCGTCGCCGCCCTTAGCGACGGTGGATCTTCCCGTGTTGCTTTGAACGGGTTGGTTGAGTCGTGGAAACATTGATGCCTGGTCAAAGAGTTTTTTTAATTTTTTTTTCTTGCTTTGTTGTAATTTAGTTGGGTCAACGTTGTGTATTCATTCTTCGAGCTAATAAAAAAATACAATTGTTTTTTGGTTAGAATTATAACATTATATTACAGTATTTAAAAATTTGAATATGTGGTCAACCATCTCATTCTAAAGAGAAATTAATAGTAATTTTTCTCTGTTATCATCACTCCATTTAACATTAAATAATTGTATTAATCAGGAGGCATAATTATTCTTCAAAATGGCTTATATATATATATATACATTAAATACTGAATTTTGTGCTTGTAATAGCAATACTTATATGATAATTTATGGTTTCTGCCTAACTACTTTGGAATATAAATGATGTTAATATTGACATTTATGTATTTGATATGAATGCAATCAAATTCCGGTCCACAGTGTTTGATGCAGCTGCTACAAAATAGTTGGGTCTGTGAAGTGGCTCCATTGGGCCGATGGACTAGTCAAGATCTGGTAAAGAGATTGAGGCCGCTTTAGTGAAAAAATAAATTAAAATTGGTTTATGAGGGAGACAATCAAATCAGGAAATCGTTATGCTCGGGGAAAGAGAGAACCGAGAGATTTTATTGATATATATACTTTTTTTTTTGTGTGTTGCGGCCATAGTTGTAAAACTCGACCTGACTCGGTCATTGGATGACTCGGATCAAGCATTGGACCGGTCATGCATTGATCCGGTCAAATTCAGTCAAAATTTTGTCAAAACTGGTGACCTAGTTGTTGGGCTTCCTCCTTCAATGCTAAGCCCAAGCCCATTGAAGAGTTTTCTAAAAACCCTAATCCTAGATCTCACCTCCTCTATATATTCATTAGTTGTGGGTGGAGGCTAGGTCAAGATATTAGAGAGAAAATTTGAGAGAATTATTTGAGAGGTTTGAGCAAAGCTTTATGCTTTGCATTTGAGAGATCTCTAGAGAGAGTTTGAGTGAAACATCTCTAGGGTAGTTTGATTATCACCATTGTTGGAGAGGTTGAGTTAACCACCACATTGGTGTATTCTGATTATTTTGTAACCATTATTTTCATAGTGGATTTTTGATATGGACTAGGTCCCGTGGGTTTTTACTTTTTTATTGGAGAAGGTTTTCCTACGTTAAAAATTGCTTGTGTTCTCTCTCTCTTCTTCTCCTCTCTCTCCCGTGTTTACGTTTTTATTTTTCTGCTGCGCTGCCCGACCTGGTGAAGTTCAGGCCGAGGTATTGTCGAGATCCGAGATCAGGATCTTGTTGATTGACTTCCGCACATAGGCTGCTTAGCCGATCTGAGGGAATCGAGTTCCCAATAGTGGTATCAGAGCCCGAGTTCGACGGGTTCTGAGGGAGACGAGATGGAGACCAGTGGCATAACCAATGATGGAGACATGTTCAAGTTGACCGCAGATAATTTCACCTATTGGAGACCGATGATGGAAGATCATCTCTACTGCAAAGACTTACATGAGCCCATTATCCTTGATGAGAGACCGGCATGCAAAACTGATAAGGAGTGGGATTCCTGAGTCGGAAGGCGGTAGCCACGATCAGGAAATATATTGATAAAAGTCTCTTTGAGCACGTGTCCGAGTTCACGAACGCGTATGAGTTGTGGACGAAGCTGGAGTCCATGATTCAGAAGAAGACTCCCAGGAATAAAGCATACCTAGTTCGCCGACTTGTGAAGCATGAATACAAGGACGACATGAGCATGATTGAACACCTCAACACCTATAAAGGTATTGTGAATCAGTTGTCAAAAGCTGAGATGAAAATTGATGATAAGATGCAGGCTTTGCTGCTGTTGAGCTCGCTGCCAGAAAGCTGGGGTACTCTGGTGGTGACTTTGAGTAATTCAGCTCCAGAAGGAAAGTTGAAGATGGATGTCGTGACAGACAGCCTCCTGAGCGAAGAAGTAAGGAGAAGAGAATGAGGTGTTTCAAGCACGTCTGAGGCCAACATTGCTGAGAACAAAGGGAAATCCGACTCCCGGGGTAGAAGCAAAAGCCGGGGTCGAGATCGTGACAGAAGAGGAAAGTCCAGAGGTCGGTCAAAGCCGAAATATGAGTTGAAGTGCTTTTACTGTGGAAAGACAGGTCATAAGAAGCCAGACTGCTGGACCCTGTAGAATGATGAGAAGAACGGCTCTGTGAAGCCGGATCAGATTATTCCCAAGAAGAGGGAAGACAAGAGCACCACTGCGGTGGCTGCCAACCCGGATGCCGAGATATTCCTCCCTGGTGAGGATAATTATTTGAATGTTGCATATGATGACTGCACCTGGATTGTTGACTCCGATGCCTCCTTCCACGTTACTCCACACAAAGGTTTTTTCTCCTCTTACCGAGGTGGTGATTTTAGAGTCGTGAAGATGGAAATCAAGTGACCAGCAAGATTGTTGGTGTCGGTGATGTAACTCTAGCCACGGATGTCGGAGGCCGACTTGTGTTGAAAGATGTAAGGCATGTTCCTGACATGCGTTTGAACCTAATCTCGGTAGGCAAACTTGACAATGCCGGGTTAGTAAACTACTTCGGTAGTGTTAGATGGAAGCTGGCCAAGGGAAACTTGGTCGTGGCCCGAGGTAAGAAGGAAGGCTCCTTGTACGTGATGCAAGGAAAGATCAATGGCGGAGAAGCCAATTCTGTTCGAGATGATCCTAGCTTGGAGCTATGGCACAAGCGCCTCGGCCACATGAGCGAGAAAGGGCTCCAGATCCTGAACAAGAAAGGATTATTGACCTGGTTGAAAGGCCAAGCGTTGGAGAGTTGCACACATTGCCTAGCTGGAAAGTAGCACCGGGTTTCCTTTGTGAGACCGGATCAACCTAGACGACGTAGGTATATTCTTGACCTCGTCCATACTGATGTTTGCTCTATGTCGGAAAGATCTTTTGGAGGAGCTCAGTATTTTGTTTCATTCATTGATGACCATTCCCGCAAAGTGTGGGTATATTTGTTGAAGTCTAAAGACCAGGTACTCCAATCCTTTAAAGAATTCCATTCTATGGTTGAAAGGGAGATTGGCAAGAAATTGAAGGTGGTCCGATCTGATAATGGTGGTGAGTATTGCGGCCCTTTTGATGCATACTGCAGAGCGGCCGAGATCATACTTGAGAAGACGCCCCCAAGACACCTCATTTGAATGGACTGGCTGAGCGGGTGAACAGAACTATTGAAGAGAAGGTCCGAAGCATGTTATCCAATGTCGGATTGCCGAAATCATTCTGGGGAGAAGCCGTCAAAACTGCTGTTGACTTGATCAACCTCTCACCATCACGGCCACTTGACAAAGAAATTCCAGAAGAAGTCTGGACAGGTCGAAAAGCGGCCTACAATCAATTGAAGGTGTTTGGATGCCGAGCTTTCGTACATATCCCTAAAGATGAAAGGGCAAAACTCGATGCGAAGACAAAAGAATGCATCTATCTTGGTTCGCCGAGATGTGAGTTCGGGTTTCGACTTTAGGATCCAATCAATAAGAAGATCGTGAGAAGCCGAGATGTGATCTTTCATGAGCATGAGAACATTCATGACATCTCGAAGCCCAAAGTCCGAGTTACTGTCAGACGCGAAGAACCCAATCCTCCTGTCTGAGCTGAAGCAGGGGGAGAAAATCAAGAGAATGAAGGAATTGATGACCAGCAACAAGCTAAAGATGACCAAGACACTGAGGTCTGAGTTGATGATGAGATCCGGGATGAGAATGATGAACTGGGTTCTCAAGCTGAAGAACATCCGAGATATCCAACTCGAGAAAGAAGACCCTCTACGAGATACCCATCTGATGAATACACCGTTGTTGCTGAAGACGGTGAGCCTCAGAGTTATAATGAGGCTGTGACGAGCTCAGAGAAAGAAGAATGGAAAAAGGCAATGCAAGACGAGATGAAGTCTCTGCACGAAAATTAGACTTATGAGCTGACCGAGATGCCTAAAGGAAGACGAGCTTTGAAAAAAAAATGGGTCTACAAGATTAAGAATGAAGAGAACGGGCAAAAGCCGAGATACAAAGCCCAGATTGTAGTGAAAGGCTGCAATCAGAAGAAAGGAGTATACTTTGAGGAGATTTTTTCTCCTGTGGTGAAAATGACCTCGGTTCGAACCGTGTTAGCCATGGCGGCTTCGATGGACCTCGAGGTAGAACAAATGGACGTGAAGACGGCATTTCTTCACGGTGATTTAGAAGAAGAAATATATATGGAGCAACCTGAAGGATTCCAAGCTCCAGACCAAGAAGACTTGGTATGTCGGTTGAAGAAGAGTCTCTATGGCTTGAAGCAAGCACCTCGGCAGTGGTACAAGAAGTTTGAATCATTCACGACTGATCATAAGTTTGAAAAGACAGATGTTGACCACTGCGTATTTGTGAAGAGGTATGAGGCTGGTGATTTTTTGATTTTGTTGTTATATGTAGACGACATGCTTATTGTAGGGAAAGACAAATCGAGGATAGCCGCCCTGAAAAAGGCGTTGAGCTCGTCCTTCGCAATGAAGGACCTCAGCCCTGCAAAGCAGATTTTCGGAATCAAGATCATCCGAGATAGACAGAAGAAGCTACTGTGGCTGAGTCAAGAGAAATATATTGAGAAGATTCTGAAGAGATTCAGCATGGACAAAGCCAAAACAGTGAGCACCCCCTTGCCGGACACATAAAGCTGAACCAGAAGCAATGTCCGAGATCTGATGAAGACAAAGATGAGATGATGAAGGTCCCTTACCAATCCGCTGTCGGAAGCTTGATGTATGCAATGGTTTGCACTAGACCCGACTTGGCGTATGCTGTTGGAATGGTAAGCCGGTATTTGTCAAACCCCGACAAAGAGCACTGGGAAGCAGTGAAGTGGATCTTCAAGTACCTCCGAGGTACGACCGACTTATGTCTCCGATTTGGAGAAGGCAAAGGCGAGTTGCAAGGCTACTCAGATTCTGATTTAGGGGGAGATTCCGACTCGAGAAAGTCGACGACTGGATACATGATGAGATTTGTCGGAGGAGCTGTCTCTTGACAATCAAGACTTCAGAAATGTGTTGCACTATCA